ATTTTATAACCACAGACCAGGGTTACTTCGTAGTACAACACACTGATACTCAAGGCCAAAGCTCAGTGACATTCCACAATAAATAATTCAAACTCCATAGTCTGTGTTAACAATGAGATCACATCGACACAATAAAAAGAAAATGAGCCAATTATTTAGATAGTTCAGCTAAATGCTTTCCCCTTAATACCAAAATCCTTCTCCTTAAGTTAAAATTTTAAAGCGAATAAAATATTGCTCCCTTCAGTCAATATCAGGTATTCTAATCTTATGGCTTATTAAGAATTTGCCAAATGACAATAATATGTTGGCATTAACAAGGTCATGTTAGACCAGTTCTCTAAGATTGCTTCAGACAGTCTTTCCGATGCCCCACCCCCTCCAAGCTCATACACCCGCGCACGCGCACCTACACACACACTCACGTGACCTTTTACAGTTCACCTCTGAGCCTGTACAAGAGAGCGTAACAAAGAAAAAGTGTCAGAATGCCACGCGCTTGAAAAATTACCCCTGGAAATGGACTTTCCAATGGCTGCCAAATCAGCGTCAAGTCCCGCTTTTCTCAAGGGCTTATCCCCATCTCTGAAACAATTTCAATTACACTCAACACGTAAATGCAATTACTCCTTCTTTTGCTCTTTGGGTTGTACCGATGAGGAGTCAGCTCACGCATCTGCATTTGTTTTGCCTGCCAAGCTTTCACACACCATCGTGTATACATAAAATATACATTACGAATACTTTTTAAAAACTTCATAATGAAGACCAGATAACCAACACAGACTAACAGCAAATGAAACTCATTCCCTACTAATTGTCATATACACTGTGCCGCCAGCCATCCTGGACTGGAAAGAGTTAAAAGTTGAAGCTCTCTTTTAATCAACTTTAATGAGCTCATCTGTAAATAAACCTTTCAATAGTGATTTAAAAACAGGTTAATTAAAACAGTTTGTAAGTCAGTCGACGTCAAATCAAAATTGAAAATTGGAGATTGATATTTACAGCGAGTGCTTAAAAACTTTAAAATATTTAGGTGGTTTTTGCCTCTTGCAACATATTTCTACTTATTTTAAGCTCCCTCGGATTTTCGATTTGGATGTAATTATTTGCAAGTTCTTTGGACATGTGGCCCGTGACACAAATAATACTCGTATCTTGCATAACTACACTTTTTACATGAGAATAATTGCTGGATCCTGCTCACCATCCAGTGTAGTAAATGTAATGGTGCATGAAGTTAAAATAATTTAAAACATTCTCAGAGGGTGGAGTGAAAAGGCAGCCATTGTTACCTGAACATGATTACTTCCTGCCTGTGTTTGGCAGCTACCTGACCTCAACCGAGCCTCCGGTGAGCTTCTTGTCAAAGGAAAGTTTAACAGCTTCATCTAAGTAATTGCTTATAGAAGGATCTCCTCATTGCCTCCACAGAGCTGATCTTTTCTTGTTTCTCCTTCTTAATTTGGGTCTGCAGTTGACCTTAGAGTATCGCTTTAACAGAGAAACTGACCTGTGACTCCAGAATGATAATTCAGACTTGATCTGCAAAAGCCCACTCTCTTGATAAGATTTAGTTTTCGTATTCTTTACGCTGACTTAAAATTATGCTGTGATAATTCAGAATTGGGGCCTGGGCATATCTCCTTGACATAAACAGTAACAAGTAAAATGAAAATATATTTTTTATTTATTTTGAGAGTGAGAGAGAGAAAGAGCATGAGTGGGAGAAGGTCAGAGACAGAGGAGGAGAGAGAATCCCAAGCAGAGATTCCCATGCTCTGCATGGAGCCTGACATGGGGTTCCATCCCATAACCACGAGATCACAATCTGAGGCCATATCAGAAGTCAGATGTTTAACCCACTGAGCCAGCCAGGCACCCCATAAAATACAAAAATTTTTAAGAAATTAAATTGTTCAAAAATATGCATTACTTTGTGTGCTCTGAGTTTCTAATGGTGCCCCTATATGGACAAATGGAAAATATTTAAATTTATGGACTTTCCAGACCACTGTCTGCACTTGAAATTATCAAGCCATTGCTTCCTATAATGAAGTGGGTCCTATTTGTAGTTCTAAGGATTATTATTTAATACTCCATTCATACTATACTTAGGATCATAAAGTTTCCTTTATAAAGCAATTTAATCAGTGAAATGGTGAACATTTAATAAGTGGCTCTTCAGGAAAAAAAAATTTGCTTATTTCCATGGTGGTCTAAATCTTACTACATGGTTAACTTCAACCCACCAAATGATATCACTAGAAGGGGGATGGCGAAGAGACGTGGGTCATTGGTTCTTGGGAGCCGGTTCTGGCTGGTTCTAATACACCACTGAATTTTAGTGACTAGATAATAGGGATCTACTTAAATGCTTCTGGAGAATCTCCTGACTCGGTTTAACGTGGATTTTTTTTTTTTTTTATTTTATCAATTATTACAGGGTCTGGTTTTAAAACATAGCCTTTCAAGTGTTATGGAGATAATCATATATGGCACTGGATTTCGGAAGGGGGAAAAAAAAACCCAAAAAACTAAAATAAACTCACCCCTGTTACCGGTAAGCTTAGATAGAAAGCATATAAATTTCATGTAAATTAGGGACACACTCTCAGCCATCTCAAGTATTTTTTTAACGATCCCACTGAATCCAGTTTAGTATCTGTATTGATGTCATTGTCCACGCATAAAAGAGCAAGTGGGTATAGGCAAGAATTTCAAATCTTTATTTACATTTGAGCTTTTCTTTTCCCAATCTGTGATCAGCAGATATGAAAAAAAAATAAAAAGATATGTTTTTATATATATATATATATATATATATATATACTTAAAAACAAGACAAAGGTGAATGATGTGATTATTCTTTTCTAAAATACACTCAAACCTCCATTTAGTGATCTGTGCAACAATAAGTTTTGACATCATCATCCAAATGCACTAAACGATTCTGCCTTCCTGCAGACAACAGGGGATTATTACAAAACTGTCTTTTCAGCACCTTGCTGATTTAACGCCTACATAGTTCCTGCACCACACTCTGCTTTTATGGACTTGGGTACGTGTACTATGTATTTTTTTTTTATTCGAAAAACTTACATAGGGGACTAAAAGCCATGAACAGAATCTTTTACTGTTATGAGTTTTTCACATACATGTATATTAATACAGCAAGAAGCATATCTATCTAGTCCCACAACAATGTTCACAAACCTGTATTCAAATGAAAGGACTGAGTGCAGATGGTCAGATTGACTGACTTCTTTCTTTTGTGATGAGGCTGAAGGTCACTTTCACCTACTTTATTTCTAAGGATGAAGCGTAAGTTTACAGAATCCTGGTTTCTCCTCACGTCATCCAAATATGAATATTCTGATTCCAGTGTTTGTCTTTCAGAAAGAAGCACTTTTAAAATGTAATTTCCTCTACAGGGTCCGCTATCTGTAGATTGATTAGGAACCCAATAAATTATTCTGAAAGAGAGAAATGAAAGAAAAAAGTCCATTCTTATTTCAGTATATGCACATTAAGCTAGTACTATTCTAGGAAAAAGTGATAGGTGGAAATATTATTTTAGTCATAAAATCCTTATTCTAAGAATCCCATCCTAAACACACATGATCACTTGAAATGGTCTCCTCATCTTGGCACCCTCTAAACCAGTATGGACCTTCTACATTGCTTGGTTAGTTCTTGAAGAAGGTGTGTGCGTCAGAATTTAAAGACGGAGTTTGAAAATTGTAACATTACATTAAGGTAGTGTTAAAAAAACAAACAAACAAAAAAAATAAACAGTCTTTTAGTCAATACGGTTACAGCCAAAAAGGTTGGGGAAAACAAATTCTCAAAAGTCTTTGGAGCATAGAGAACTTGTGACCTTGAAAAATAAATCTTGCATCCAAAACAAATCTCAATTCTGAAATCTTTCCAAAATACAAATATTTTATTCCACTGTTTGGTACATTCTAATGGCTCAGATGAACATCTTGTATGTCCTTGTAGCTGGGATCCTCTCTGAGATGTGAAAAGGGCTCAACTGCTCTATTTTCTTCTCCATATCCATGCTTCATTCCCTTCATTTAGCTCAGCCTAGAGAAAAATCAGCATGTTCTGACAAGCTTAGTTCTATGAGGCAGTCAGATGGACCTGAATTTCGTGGAGATTGGAGCTCCAAAATAAATAGAACACCATGTATGAAATAAAAAAAAAGATAGTCTCCTGTATAAATCAGAAGAGATAATAAAAATCAATGAATAGACAGCAACTTTTTTTCATACCTCCACAAGCAGCTCAAAAGGAATGATTTACCTTTTTTTTTTTTCTTATTTGGAACCCTTCGTAATTTATTTGCTAAACAACGGGTTATGTTGCCTGAAACCAAATTTTATCGGTTTGTATTGGAGGACTGGGGAGGATTTTCTAAGAATTTATATACTGCTAAATAAAATATATTTGCTAACCAGCAGCAGTAAACTTGCGCTGGATTCTGTAATCTAGCAAGCGAAAAGCATCACCGCAAATTATACTGGTCCCGAGTTTTGAGTCGCGAGAAGTTCTAGGACATTTCAATGGCACATCGTGTGTTGTTCTTCTCACTGGCAGTACCGTGAAGGTTTGTACAGGGCACGCTTGGGTCACGGACAACACAGGGCACTACTTGCTCATAGAGGTTAGGTGCTTTGCAGGTATCTGAGAGTTGCTATCTATTCACAAACCACTGAGCATGTCGTTTTATCAAAAAGCCTTCGAATGCTCAGAGTCTGTGGTCAGTGCAGTCCCTTGGGTAAGTCTAATGGAGATACACTTCACCAAGGCCAAAGCCCAAACAGTTAAAAATGGAGAAATATGTACAACCGTTCTCTCTAGTAAGTCGAGTTCTTGTTTTCTGTATGTAGTGGGTTGTTTTGTTTTGTCTCGTTGTTTTGCCTTGTTTTGTTTTTGCTTTTATTTATTTATTTTTTTTCTCCAGTACATTTCAGATTAAGGTTCCGGGGCTATGAGTACAAACTCTCGGGGCCGGTGCCATACATATCTGCGAGTCGTTTAAAGCGAGGCCCCCAGTCACTTAGGTAGTCGTAATTCTGATCAGAGTTCGAGCTGATGGAATCTAAGGAGCTGAGCGATTCAGCCACTGAGCCATTTCCTTCAAACGCGTACGTCTGCAAGGAGTCATAGGGGGGAGCACAGGGGTCCACGTCAGCTTCTTTCAGCCTCTCCCAAATAAATTCTCGAAAGATGACGTTGTCTGGGATGCTTTTAAAAGTCGGTCGACTCAAGAACTGAATTTCTGGAGTCACATCCCTTCGGGTCTTGGTATCTCTGATGACATTGAGGTTCCTCAGTGCAGCCATGTCAAAAGCTTCTGTGTCTTCCTCTCCCCCACCTTCATCGTCGTATCTCACAATATTTTCTCGGATATCTCTCTCCTCATCGAAAATGAGAGGCTCTTTTTTCCGTCTTCTCATGGTGACGATGAGGAGGATCAACACTAAAACGAGACAGGAAAGGAGCAGGTTTCAGTAAATGCCCACCTGCCCCTTCATCATGGTGAAATCAGGCCTATGATCCCGACTTACAGATTTTCTGCTCTTTAAAGCGAAATGAGTTGGCCACCTACGTGCATGGGAATTCACAGCGGCAGACGTGCTAAAATTGCCAAAATGCGTTTAAAATAAGGACACTTTTATACATCAAGAAACCCTTCTCAACACCTGTTCAGAATTGATGTCTCCCGCTTTAAGGCAACCTGCGAAATATTTGATAGAGCAAATTGAAGGGCCAGTTCAGGAGAACTATAATGATTTCAAAGCTATGCAACACAAAGGGATTTTTTTTTTGAACTCCTTAATTGCTGGAAAGGCAAAATGACTTTCATAAATGTTTTAGGTCTAATTTAACAACAGCAATTTCAGAAGGAAATGGATTTTAGCATTTGGTCAGGTTCTTTGAAGAAATGCCTAGTACTTGTCTAAGAAACTCTGCTGTTAAATAAAATCCAGTATGTCAGACCATATATGAAGATTAAAAAAGCTTTTCTATAGTAAACTGAGTCTCACTTTCAGGAAGAAATACTGAACTTGGTCTTTATGCGTTAGACCCGGAAAGAGATTATAGCTCGTGAGATTTTCAGCTTAGCCAAAAAGAGATTTATCAGAATAATTAATAAAGCACATGGTTATACTGGAAAGCAAAGGACAACAGGTACACTGGCTGTTACTGGTTTTAAACCACCTGAATATACTCCTTGTATTTTCAATAAGTACACGCTACTAAGAAAGATTCTGCTCTGCTTAGGCTATGAGTGACAGAATGCTAGATGAATTGGGAACATATCAGATTTCGTTGGTACTTGATTTAGTTAGAGTGAAAAAAAATATTCTTGAATTTTGGAGTTCAAAATATATAAATTAAAGAATTATCTTAAATTACCTTTTTATTACATCAGCCAATTTTTTTTTCTTGAAGATCTAAAAAGCCCAAAGTAACCATTACTCTCAGCCTATTTAAAAAAAGACATTTGAAATATTTATATTTACAATATCTTAAGGTCTTAGTTTGGCATTAAGAATACATTTGAAAATAAAACAGAATAAATAAAACCAAGAAAGACATCACTGTAATTCAGAGTGATTAAAAGCAATGACTAGGTGAGACCTAGTCCATCCTGTCTCAATCTGCTTAAACAAAGTTCTAAGCACTTACTTTTAAATAAGTCCTTTTCTGTTGTAACGTGCTGGTGTGGGCCTTGAAAAAAAGCCCAGCCTTTTCACATATTAGTTAGCTGGGTGATCTTGGGCAAGTACTCGAATTTACTGAGCCTAGCCACATGTGATAATTATAGGCAAATGGTCCAGGGTAGAGACTGGGAGGGGGTGGGGGGAGGAGGCAGGGGAGGGAATGTAAATAGAGTTAGCAGAATGCCAGGTACTTGTTTGTGTGCCAAAGTGAAGTTTTCATTGTTACCTTCTGGTCAACTAAGAACATCAACTCAAAATTTCTCCTCTGACCGAGGAGAAATAATGAAGTTAGGTACAAAGTAGAAAGTGCAGCAAATCTATGGCAAGGCACGTGCACTAAAGATTAAATGAGAGACAGAAAAGGCAGTAGAGTGAAAAAGGAAGGTCTACAAACAAGGTCTATCGTTTGACCCTCAGAATAGCTCTCTGGGGGATGTTATGTTCTTGTTTGACAGCTGTCTTAGGCATCTGAAACAACCTGCCTGTGGTCATGAAGTAAATGCAGTAGGTAGGAATGATGTGTTCTCTAGTTCCATCGGCCTCAAAGCCGGTGCACTTTCTAGAACACTAGGAGCTTAGTACTTCCATAGAAGGTAATTCAGACACAAGCCAAGAGCTCAAGTGACCATTTGCTAGTTCCGAGAAAGACACACCAGTACCTTTTAACACATACGAGTAAATAACACTTTAGATTTATGTATAAATTTAGCTTCTGAAACTTTTTTACATAGTTCCCCTACACCCAAATGTAAGTAATTGAAACAGAAAGACGGGCCATATCATATTACTGGAGAAGTCAGATTAAGAGAGAGAATGGAAAGTGAGTATCCGAGAGAGCCATGATGGGGGGACAGGTGGAGGGAGGGACAGGAGAAATCTCTAAGACATGTCGGAAGGAAAATGAGGCAGAGCAAATATCCAACCGAATGCAGAGGATGGAAGAAATGGATGGGCATAAGAGTGAATGAGGCTATGAAGAGGGTAAGAATTAGGTGATAATTAGATACACTTTTAATTTAAATCAGTATTTAGGCAAAATATTTCAAAATTCTCAATTCTCTTCATATAATGAACCTTGTCATTTATATATATGGTATATGATATATAATGTTTTATGTTATATACATATGTTATATAGATTTATACATTATATATAAATAACATAAAACCACCATTTCTTATATTCTGCTGTAAATGTAAGTTTATTTATTTTGAGAGAGAAAGAGAGAGAGAAAACAGGCAAGTGGGAGTGGGGGAGGGATAGAGAAAGAGAAACCCAAGCAGGCTCTGTACTGTCAGCACAGAATCTAATGTGGGGCTCGAACTCACATACTATGAGATCATGACCTGAGCTGAAGTCAGACGCCCAATCGACTGAGCCACACAGGCACCCCTGTAAATGTTATTTTTTCTGCTGATAAACTTACTTTTGGATGCTCAAGTGTAGTGTTCAGTAAAAGTGAAACATGACAGAACCCACGGAATGTGTCAGCTCGTAGGTTCAGTACCTGTTAAGGATATTAGTATCTTATAGAGTTTATTTCATTTCTCAGTCTTGCCTCAAGCTGGGAAAAAAATGAAGTGTTTTAGAAGGTTAGAGAATTTAACATTTCAATGACTTAGGAGAATATTAATTTCTAACTACATGAGCACATATAAAAAATAAAATTTAACCTTTACGTAGAACAAGTATTAACTGCTCTTCAGGGTCTATGGAGATAATCCCTGCATTAAAAAGAATATTTTCTGCTTAAGTAAGCACAAGATTATATAGTTTAGGAGGTTTTCCTCATATGTCTTTTCTGTCATATGAAGGATACTTCTGAGTGGAGGCATAAAGAAAGATTTAGTCTAGACACGTGGAAGTTATAATGGGTCTGTGGCTCATGAATTTATATATGTTTAACCAATGTGCATTAACCATTTCTTGTAGGCATTAGGTAGGATGATATAATGTTGAGCACAGAAGTAGACACAATTAGTTTCCTCAAGGAACTTATAATTAAATGGGAAGACAGATATCCATCAAATAATGAGACAACTAAATGTCAATGTAGAAGTGGGATAATTATTGCAAAAGAGGGAAACATGATCTTTTCAAGATCCACAGTAGAAGAAACAGACCCATGCAAGGCAGATTTAAGTGAGGGTCACTGAAGGCTGGGGTGGGGGTGACGGTGGAGAGGTGATATGGAAGGTTACTCTTGGTACAAGCGAGCAGTCAGCAAACGTCGGAAGTCAACAAAGCTGTGGAGCAAAGAAAGGTGGAGATAACCAATGCGGTCTGAGGCTGGTATGGTATGATCATATTAGTTTTTCAAAAACAATATAATTCAGATTGGACTGAGGATAGGAAGAAGGGCAGCGTAGATGTTAGCAAAGCAATTACAATGCTATTGCAGCAGCCAAAGCATACTGTTAACTAAAATTTCTGGTTTTAGAATTCAGTTTTATAACATTCGACATTTTCTGAGTATCCCGGTACGTCGGCTGTGGTGCTGGTTATTGGCAAAATCCTGATAAGGGAGGATCCCTGCATCCAAGCAGCTCCAACTTGGTAGCTGTATCTTTACAAAGAGAAATACAGTATAAATCATAATGCAGTTCACTGTGAGAAAGTGCAGACACCCACCAGTGCAAAGAAGCATACATACGAGAACAGCACCATTCTCCCACATTGAAAGAAAGAAAAGGGAAGATGGAGAAAAATACAGAAGTGTAAAATACACAGCATCCTGTAAATTAGCGGGCTCCTATAGTCTCAACGTCACCGTGGCCTATGCCAGATACATATCCATTTTCACTTAATCATCTTGGCAGCATTTCAGTGGAACCAGCCACGCTTCCTAGAGGTCAACCACAGCGTTACTGGCCCCTGTGATTAAGAGGCCCCCTCTCTAATACACTTGCATCATCAAGTGTCTTGTTTTCTGAAAGACGGCAGACGCTTGAAAAGTCAACCAGATTAGCTCTTGAAACGCTTACAGTGTATTCTCAGCTACTGAGTTCAACACCTAGTGGTCATCCCCGAATCCCCTGCACGGGATGTTCTAAGCTTGCAAACACCAGAATTCTCAATATCCGGTTTTGGTCCCCAGAACCTGGCAGAACGCTGCTGATGTGGTACAAGTTCTACCACAGCTTGATAAGCCTACTTATATTAAAGGAAAACCATTTACCTGAATGTATTTATTTTTTTAGCATATTTCAAATTTTGAGCCAAGTTCATTTTAAAGCACCCAGTCATGCAAACTACCATCAAATCAGTTCTTTTCCATCTGAGACCTCGATGAAAGGTTCTTTTTGTAAATCAAAGTGGAAGTCTTTGTACCTGTTTGGCATCACTTTGTAAAGTTCAACCTGTTGTTTAGAGACTATCACCAAAGGTTAAAACCTAAATTACTTTTAATTCACTTTTTTTTTTTTTTTTTTTTTTTTTTTTTTTTTTACCGGGCAATTGATTTTCTACAACTGGAATCCCTATACCGTCAGTGTGTTTATTCCCCACAGTTGTTATTTTAAACACAAAAAAGCAATATTTGATAGTAAATATGCACTCAATAAGTCTTGTTAAGTTAATAAAGTAGGGGTTGGAGAGAGATGCAAATGGATCTCGGCATTATGAAGTTCAGTATTTTGTATACAAATAACTATTATGCAATAGATTATACAGCAAAGTAACATATGCTAGGTAAATATGTATGGAAAGGGGTACTTTGCCCACAATGCTCAGAGAAGTCTCACAAAAGAG